ATCTTTGGGGGTTTTTATCAGCACAGAGTGTTGTATAAAATACATCAGTAACAATGAGCTTTTGTTATCATATGCTGCATTCATACTAGGAAGATTTTGCCACATATCTGACACATCCATCCTGGGAAAATGGTCTTGAATATACATTTTCATTCTAGTGTATGTAGCTTTTCATCCATTATGAACTTCGGTTTTTACTGTACTTTGTCTTGTAATATCTTGAGAAACAATAGCCATTTCATGGGAGTTGTGCTACCAAGTATTAATGTACCAGGGAACTATTTATTTAGGGAGTTCCTGAAGGTGAAACAAAATCTTCTGGCATGAAAAGCTTATCCTTACCTTGCATCTGTCATGACTGCTCAAAAAGCCAGCCTCAGCACACATGGGCCTGATTTACCAAGCCTGCTGTACTCTCTGCACACATAGATGATATATGCACACATAGATGAGCTTGTGCATGTTCACAGCAGGTTCAAGATATCTAGTATGGGATTTTTTTTCTCTCCTTTACTTTAGGCCTTCCTTCAGACTGAAAGTCCAGGAACCATAATCCCATTCCTGAACACACACACACACACCTTCCTTCCTGCCACACCTTCCCCATAACCTGCCTTATCTACATCATTTGTGAGCTTTTCTGTAGAAGACTGTCTATTTTTTTTGTGTTTGTCTAGTGCTGTATAAAGTGCTATAAAAATACTGGGTTTTGGCCCTTAGATAACAGTGTAGTAAAGGTAGCAGCAATAATCTTATGGTTTAAAGAGGCATCTTGCCTGAATTTATTGTCAAGGTATAAAATTTGTTAAAAGGTCATTTTTTTGCATTGAACTCAACCTCGTCAGTTGAGAGCTGTTTAGCAGGTGGACTGTCATGTTTTACATGGATTTCACATTTTTTATGCAGAACTAAAGAAGTGAACAGTTGTACTTTGCAATGTACTTAACTCTTTGGAGGTTATGTGCCATCACCATTTTGCAAACACCTTTGACTGCTGAAAGTCTTGCTCCAGTTTTGCATTTTCACCATAGCCAGGAGTTACCACTAGCCCAACTCTGTCAAAAAAGTGTATCCAGGTTAACAAATGCACATCACTCTGTTTCAGGCAAGTTCTGCTGGGTTGGTTCAAACAGCTGACAAAGGCAGGCTTGCACTAACGAATGCAGTTTGTCTCAGGCAGATTAGGAAAAGAGCAGCACAATTCCAATTTATGGAGCTGCAGGAAGGGTCCCGCTTTCCGCGAATGTACATTCTAGATGCTTGGCATCTTTAGCCTGCAGAGCCAGGTCTGGAAGAGGATGTTTACCATCAGCCTCCAAAATAATGACTGCTTTGTGAGGCTACAGTCATGCGGTCATTGTAGAAATGGCTTTGTGGCACTTGAAGACATTCATTCCCACCCATAAACTGGAAATTACTCTCTTCCTGGTACAGCTCAAATGTCAGAATAAATCATCTGGGCATGTGTTTCAGCGCAAAGGCAACAGGTTAGTATTCTGGTAAGAGTGATGCCAGTTCACCTACCTGACTTTCCTCTGGAATTTAAGCACTGGTTCTTTTATACAAGTCTTTTACACTAAGCAGTAGGGCTGACTGTACAGCCGCTGCAGAGCGATGACAAACACCTGGATGTCAGTGCCATCTTAAACTGACACCTCTGCTTCTCCAGTAAATATCTGACCCAAGGCTGAAGATTAGTCATGCTGCTTCTCAAGGCTTTCTACTGCACTGGAAAGTATCTGGAAAGTATGCAAAGTACAGCTGGCTTAGAGATTTCTCCTGTGCAGAAGCTGCTTTTAAAACAAGTCGTATCTCTCAGAAGGAGGAAATTCCCATGTGGGAAACCTAGAATTCTTACCTGAATGTGAAAAGGCCACAAACGTACAGGCATTTTAAATATGCCAGGCGACAAATTCTCTGTCACTTAGCAAACAGGAAACATCAAAATAGCTGAGGTGTGAAAGTCAGTAACAGCCACAAATAAAATAATCTCTGGTGAGTGTAACTGTGAAAACTCTGACATGTGTTTCTCCCTCAACTTTCAAAGCAACTTCCTCCAGTCCCAAAGAAATGGAATTGGTGTTAAGAAAGTAGATCTCATAAGAATAAAATCTGTCAACTGTTGAGGAGCACATATTCTCTACCAGCATCTTGTGTGCCACAGCAACACAGTGGGTGAATGCTACCAAATAGCTATAGTGCTACCAAATAGCTATAGTGCTACCAAATAGCTCCAGTACCCACCTGCATCTGCATATGGTGCCAAGAACTGCTGATGATATTACTGCTGAAGTGAGTGCCTCAGCAATTCCAGAGCTTCTGTTTGGGAAGAAAGTGGCAGTTAGCTAGTCCTGACAAAATCCACCTTGTTGGGACTCTGACTTGGTATTTAGTAGGTTACAGAGCTTCATTTGACAGGTTGAATAGTGAAGGATGTGTTGCATCTGTAGGTAAATAGTTTTAGGGAATAATTACCTTTGGTGTTGCATCGTTTTTAATCTTGCTTCACTTTCCAACTGTTTTGTTGAGCTGTCTTTTCCTACTTGATTTAAATGGCAGTACTCTCAGAAATCACTTTCCCACATGAGTGCTTTATACACCAAGATCAGGTCCCCCCTAACCTTTTGATAGGTGTTTGTGTAGTATGATGGTGCAGTGCAACCTTTCAGTTTTCACTTGGATTTGTGCACAATATTTTCTGCCATCGTTTTTAACAGAAACTTTTTTATTTTCCTGAAAAGTTGCCTTGGGTGTTTTGCAGCATGGCTCTTTCTGGCCACCTTCTGACACATTATGTACACACTTGTTTGCCTCTCAGAGCAGATTGTCGTGGTGTGGTAGGAAAAATTTCTGAACCTGAACCATGTGTCTCGCTGCACCACTGCAGCTTTCACTGTTGGTTGCAACTGCTGCAGCATGAATTTCTTTTGTAATGTGAGTATTGCACAAAAGATTTGCTCTGACCAAAATCTCCTGTCACACTACTAGAAGCCAGTAAAAACTCTTCACTTGACAGTGAGGCAATGGTCTCACAGCTAGAAAATGGGTCTGTTAACATACGAGTGTCTTTTCTCAATGTGGTAGCATCTCCTGTTCTAGCGGTGGCAATGTAGAGGAGACACAGACATTTATCCTGTTACATTGTACTGCTGTAGTCCTTGTTTGACAGAGACCAAAGTGTGTGTGAAGGAAGCTGATGGTGCAGTAGTTACAGCCATAAGAGAAGCTGCAGTGCTGGTGAGCTACAGGCCATCATTTTGCTGGTGTATTTTGCAGTCCTACTGTGCAAGATGACTGTCAAAGGCATGCATTACAGAATTGAATTTTTACTTGAACTGAGACTTGACTTAGTCTGTTAAGCACTTCATTATTATTCCATGTGTTATTCCAACAATCTTGAAGTGGGTCAGGTACTGAAAGGGAAGCCAGTGCTGGTTGGACAGCATTAATTTTGGTTATTATGAGCATTGTCTGGTTAGACCTGTTTTTAAAATGTGCCACTACATGATGGGTTCATTATAGCAACCTCATCATCTCTGCTGCCAGTCCTGTAAACAGTCCACTCCGAGTCTGCCGGCGCTAGGGGCAGGTCTTGTGCAACAAGTGGTGGTGGAGTCCGCTGTTGGGTTGGCTGATGAGATGTAAAGGAATACACAGAGCTCTAAGGAAGAGCATGGCCTAACAGACAAAAACCCTTCTTGATAGGCACAGCTGAATTCAGGTCACTAATGAGAAAAGAGGGTTGAGATAGTACCAACATCTCTTTTTCTTCCTGCCTGCAAAAGTATTTGAAAGTACATTAGCCTGTGTTAATTTGGAAACTGTTGAGCTGTTTAGACTGTCATCTTTTAGCATTTACTCTATTTGTGGTGGTATTTAAATGCATCAGAAATTAAATTTAAACACAGCCCAGCCAATGTTCTAAGTAACAAGTTTCCATGAGGGAATAAGCAAATAACTTTATGCTGCCAGTTTTGTTTCTTGCCTCTTCACAGCCTTTCACTGTATCCCCATGCCTCTCAGCCAAACCCACTGCCTCCAGCATGTAAAAAAAAAAAAACAACCAAAAAAACCCACAATAAAATCTAACTGTGCTCCTTTTTAAAGAAAATAAAATATTATTTACATTATTTTTGTAGAAGGAAAGAAACAAAGGGAAAAAATATTACATATTCTCCAATATTACATATCTAGTTTTATTATGTTGAATTATATTTTTCCCTAAAGTCCTTTGAAGCAGTGATGGAGGAAGATAAAAACAAGCTTTTTCTTCATCCAGGATATGCAGAAACGAGGTCTCAAAGTGGATAGAAATGATGTGAAACAGTATACTTTGTAATAATTCTGTTTCTTTGAAGAGAAATGCAATATGCCCTGGTAAATCATGTTTCTGAATATTTACCATCTTTTTACAGGAACCTATTGTCCTGGTACCTGTTGTAATCTATCAACCTTGTACACAGATCAGTCAGTAACTGGTGTGATATGCAGGGGAAGGATTAAGGCACTAAAACCATACATTTATCTGGTTGTAATGAGCTTTGTTGTTCTTTCAGTGATTTGGAATAAGATTTTTTTGGTAGAATCCTCAATGCGATCTATTAAAAAACACCCCGTGGTTCATTCATTGGATGCTTGTTTTGCTGGTGCATATCTCTGTGTTGTTACAAAATACATACTTTTTTCCCCTGAGTTTATAGAAATTGTAGAAAATTAATTTGTTACTGTATCTCCCAAAATAGTATCATGGGAAAGTGAGAGAACTGTCTTACACATTCATTACTGTGTCATCATTCATGCAAATCTGAGCCCGACCATCACATGCAAAGTGATGCAGGCACTTACAGGAAGAAAAAAAAAAGGGGGGGTGGGGGGTGGAACACGGAAGGATGGGTAGGGGAGAGAGGAGAATAAGCTCTCTTCCTGATTCTGGGCTTTAAAAGGAAAGAAGTCACAGTTTTTCCTACCACAATATACTGTTTCTGTTTTTTTTTCTGCAGTAGGTCCTTAAAGAGAGGTCAAGCCTTGAAATGCTCACACCTGCGTTTGCAGTCAGGCACCTCAGTGCTCTGATCAGGATGCGGTCATTCTGTTTCCTGCTGCGATAGAAGTGCTTGTGTATTTCAGTGGTCACACACCACTGATGGTTGCAGCAGTGAGGGAGTATGTAAGGAAGATCTGAGAATATGTGTGTATAATTCCATGGAGGTGATGGATACTTTAAAGAAAAAAAAAATAAAATCTAAGTTCCTGGCTTTGGTGGAGGATAATTAAGCCTATAAAATATGATTTCTTTATTTCAAATGGTGACTTTTGACATAGTAAAGCTTGATTTTTCTTTTTCCTGTAAGTTAAAGAAGAGCCATGTTCTGCTTTTAAAGGCCTGATTATAAAAATGTAAATTTAGATTGATTCTAATGTAATGTACTCTTCACATTCTTCTAAAATTTCCGTCACCCTTTACATGATTAAGGTAAGTGCTAATTCAGATTATAAAAACAGTGTTTAAATAATTAAAATTTGTTGCTGCTTTCAAGATGCATGTGTCCATGAAAAATGTCAGTCTGCATGGTGACATGTCATTCTGGTGAAAATATTCTGTGTGGATTAGCAAGTACCACAGCAGCTTCCACTGTTATTCATCAGTATGTAAAATCAGAGGACTGATAGGACCTCAGAAAGAAACCCAAATCCAGTAAATGACTGCTGTGAATAATACTGAGCTCTTTTCTGCACACCTTAAGTTATTTGGGGGGCTTTCATATCTCTGCATGTTGTGATTGATGTAAAAGGTGTTTAAGGCTGCTGTAACACAAAGATATGAACTTCCCAGCAGTGACGACCATTCTACACAAGAACCGTTACTTCACTGCCAGGCTAACACAAGATACATAAGATATGTATGTGAGATAGCAGAGGTGACCCAGTTAGACAGTTGTGTGGCTAGCTCTTCCTATGCTAATCTATCCTCCTCCACCCGCCTGTCTTCCTTCTGGCTTTGACCTGCCTAAAACTACTATTACATGCACTTAGTGAACCTCTAAATTAGTTCTTTGTGTAAGCTCAAAGGCAAATTTTTAGTGAAACTTCATTTTGTACATTATGCATAGAATGAGAAAATTTGCACTAGAAAAACAGTTACTGTCTCCACCTTGGACAGCCACAGAACAGAACTCAGACACAGAATCATAAGCTATGGATATGCTAGTATGTTGTAGGTATAAGCTCACAGTGTAAAACAAAACTATTTGACATGAGAATTGAGATCACTTGGTGGGAGAGTAATTTTGGTTTCTGTTGAGCGTACTGTGACAGACTGAACAGTGTCTAAGCATGAGTCAGCACTTTTCCAACTTTCAGATAAAAATGTGCATTAGTAGCAACTTAGATGAAGATAAGGCAAGATGCTAGTGGTCCTGGGCTGCCATAAGCTTAAGGACGGTAAGAGGAAGCACAAAAGCAATAGTTAGGAAAGTTAATCTAGGACAATCTGCAGTAATGGGTACAGTAAAAGTTGTTCTTTTTCTTCTTTCTTGAAAGAAGAAATGCCAGTTAATCAAAAAATGTGGGGAAAGTTTTGGGTTTTGACAATGGCACTAAATTTGTTGAAAAGTACTCTTGTAACATTTTCAAATGGAAAACTCTGCGTTTCAGTACAAATTTACTTCTCACTTTTGTTTTTCAAACTGTTTTTACATGAGTCAAAACTAAACCTTTTCAAATGACTCAATCTTAACTGTCATGGAATGCAAAAAAACCACCAACATATTAACATAAAAGGTTGTACTCATTTGCCAAAGGAAGTACTTAGGAGGGGAAATAAGACTGAAATGATATTGAAGCAATGTGGAAGCTGTGTTCTTCATATTAACAAATGGCAATCTTTCCCTTGTCCTTTTTGTTTCATCTGCATTTTGACTACACTGTAATTTTGTAAAGCACTGGTTTGCATTGCAGAGTCATGGCGCAATCATTGTTTATTGTGTTGCTGTTATATAACATCTTTTATAGGCGTATATGCTTAATTCTGATCAGATTAAAAAACACGTCGTATATGAAAATGTATAGGGAAGTGGTTGTAACAAATTCTGAGAGACAAAAACGGTGAAATTACTCTTCACAGAAGGTACACTAGCTCAGAGAAGGTACATCGCTTCAGTACCCTGAGGGCAGTTGCTGCGTAGAGGCACCTGTAGGAAAACAGTAATGATAGAGGTAAGTGGAGCTGGATGCAAAACGTACATTACAAGACGCCCTGGTATTCAGAGTCCAGTTCGAGAGTCACCTAAAAGAAATTCTTTTCCTGGCTATGCCACGTACTTCCTCTGGGGGATCTTGAGCAAGGCGTGTTTTGACCCAGATTTCAGTTTCATCCACTAACTTTTCAGTTAGTCCCCTGGTGACCGGCACCTAGATTTTCCTGGCTGAGCAGCCTAGCTTTCAGAGGTACCATGCTGCTGCTAACTTACAGTCTGACATTTCCAAGACACGCTTCCTTTTACAGCCACCGTCCTTCCCTGAATGACCTATATTTAACTGCAGGCTCACTCATGTAAGAGCTGCCTTAGGTGGCACCCTCATCTTTCAGGCATGCATTGCGACAAAAGCACAAAACATAAATAAATAAACCCGCCTTGCATCATGCCATCCTGCGAGCCTCCGCGGAGGGATACGCCTACCGGTGACATGATTCAGACTGGGGGCACAACTGACATCCGGGAGACTTCAAAGGGCAAGAAATAGGAAGAGGAACAAACCGCCTCTCTTTTTTTAGCTGTGCATAGCAAGGTTCATAGCAGTTACCCAAAGCACGGGGTAGGTGCTGTCTGTATGGGGCCGCAGCCCGTTTTCCACAGGCAGCGCCCACGCCACGCATACTGCCCGAGGCCCGCTCACGCGTGGGTGCCGACACCTGCACTTTAGCCCTAATGAAGCACGGCCCACAAGCACAAAAAGCAGGCCACCGACGGAGCGGGAACCGCCGCCCAAAACAAAGCACAACAACTCTACCGCATCCCGCATCAGGCGCCGGACCGGGACCCCTCAGCCTGGCCCTGCGCATTGAGCGATGTTTGTCCGCCATCGCGGCGGAGGAGGAGGGTGAAGGAAGCGCCGCCGCCGGAGCGAGGGGCCTGCGCCGCCGCCTCGCCCCTCGCCGCCGCCTCCCCCGCCGCTCCCCCCGCCTCGGCTGGGCCCGGCCCTCCCGGTCTCCGCGCAGCACCGGGGGCCGCAGCCCGGAGTGAAGGTCGCCAGCGGCCTCCCCCGCTCGGCCCCCGGCCCCGCTCCCGGGGTCTGCCGCCCCGCCGCGCGTCTCCCGGCGCCCCTCCGGACGGGAGGCGCCGCAGCCGCCGGGCCCGAAGATGTCGAACCTGAGCAAGGGGACGGGCAGCCGGAAGGACACCAAGATGCGGATCCGAGCCTTCCCTGTGAGTACCGGGCCTAGGCCGGGCTGAGCGGCCGCGCCAGGCCCCGGCCTCCGCCTGCTCGCAGGCCCCGCGCCCTCGCCGCCCTGTCAGCCGCGCCGTGTGCCCGGGACCGCGGGACGGGCGGGCTAGGCCGGCCATGAGTAGAGGCGGCCTGGGAGGGTGCCGCGGGTGCGAGCGGTGCTGGGTGAGCTGTCAGCCGGCCGGCGGTCTCGGACAGTCCTATGCGAGCTGCGGGGGGCTCGAGGGGGACGTGCGGGACCTGCATTCTGGGGAGCAGTGGTGTCTACCACACGGCGAGTGGGAGGTGGAGGAACTGGTCCCCGTGATTATCGTCTCCCTCATCAGTCAAATCAATTACGAAAATCCACGTACGGCGTGGGGAGGGGGGATCGCTTCTTTGTTTTCAGGGAAAAAGCCTCAAAGAAGTCCGAGATTATACGCCTACATCAACGAAATTAGTTAGCCCCGGAAGGTGTGTGTGTGTAGGGGGTGTATTTATTTACGTCTTCTGGAGAGTTTCCTCCTGATGAATTTACCGCACTCCCTGCTCTGTAAAAGAGGCTTTAAGTCGTATGATTATGAGATTTAGGTGGCACAATGCCAGCTATTCAGAAGATGTTACTGTAAACATCTAGGTGTAGGTAACTTTCATGCATGTTCGGTAGAGCCATGAGCGTGCCGTCCCTTTGAGTTACAGAGGGGAATGAGCCAGATGATTAATTTAAACTGCCATAAAGCTTGCTGTGTTTTGACAGTTGGTTCAATTAAAGCTTACAACAGCATTCACAACTACAGTGCTATTAATGGTATTGAGAAACGAGAGAAATAGAAAAGTTTCAGTCTGCCAGAGGATGGCCAGAAAGTATGTATATATGTGTTTGTCACTGTATACGTTAAAAAGAAGATACTTGATTGAGTCTCTGGCTTTTAAGGTTTAGTGTTAACTTTTTGATGCTATATCTGATTCCAGTAGGCAGTAGTGTAGAACTAATGTGGCTTGCCTTTATAGAGAAACTGGACATACCTGTTTATCTTCTCCAAGGAATATATCAATGTGTTTGTTTCATCAAAACTTTTGCTGATGAAATTAGGGAATTCCTTATATGCTCAGCAGCTAGCTTAATCGTAGCAACCTGATTTATGCATCTCTTACGCTGTCATCTACTTTTAATCATTGACAGTTCTATTTAGTGGTAAAAGTTAAAAAGAAAAAATGGCCTATGAAGTTATGAATTTCAGCTGATGAAAGGTTTTTGATCTCCAAATGATATTTACTTCTGTAAACACCCTTTTCAAAGAAGTGTTGGATTATAGGAATAAAGAAAAAGACTTACTGCAACATGGATAAGGCTAGCACACAAGTAGCACACACCTGTAAAAAATAAACCATGACAAAACCAGTATGTATATCTTACTAGAAACTGTACTAAGAATATGGCCATATTTTAACTTGATAAACTGATTCATTTATTCCAACCGTGAGTATGTCAGTATGGGTCAGCCAACAAAGGCAGACTTAGCAATAGGATGAACTTTAGTTTGTGTTTTACTTTTTTCACCAGTATTGTAAATGAGCATCTGCAGTTAGTATAGAGAATTGCTCTTGCATAAGGTTAAGTGTGATCATCAAGGTTTTTTGCTTCCAAAACTGTTTTTGCTAGCATTGTCTGGCTTTTCAGTTGCTTCAGGAATGTCTAGGTTAGAAGTTTTTTTTTGAAAGTCATCCTCTCTGTAAAGTAATTCAGTAAGTCAGTAGGCATCAATACCTACAGATCTTAAATGTTGACATCTGTTGACAGAATTTTTACAGGTGTCCCCTTCAAT